TTGCAGAAATAAAATATGAATTACTAGCAGATATCATAGGTATAGGTAGGAATGTTAAACAGAAAAATCAAAAACTGAACCAAACAAGAAAAACGAATCGGAAAACTAGCCTTTTTTTTAAAACCAACTCGATTTTGGTTCACAAATTTGGCTGAATCGGTTTTCCGACTCGATTATTGGTTCATCCCCAGTTGAAAACTAGTTTACCCGAACCGGTTTTAAAAATCGATTCTGTTAAAAATTCCTAAACCTAAAATCTGCAGTTCTAAAGTTTTGATTTATCTAAAGTCTAAAGTAGATCCTCAAGTGGTGATTGACTCTCCGTCATCCTTAACTCTCGATCTCCCTTCGCGTGACTGGTTTCTTCACGCAACTGCCATCACGACAGTCTAGGAGCACGATGCCTATACGTGCGATCTTCTGCTCCAATCCTTGCTTCCCTCGCCACTCCATCACATTTGCTTACCCCAAACATCACTAAGCAACCCCATAATGCGCTTGTTCATGCAATCCAACCCACTATCTCGCAGTCTTTGCCATTCCTTCTACTCCCAAGACGCGCCACCGATTGGTTTGTGTTGTGGGTTTGATTGGTGTTTGTACATGGTGGTTTGTGGTGTCTTACGGTGGCATGGCCACCCGTGGTGGAGTATGACAAATTGTGGCGACTAGGTTTCTCTGTCATAGGGGTGTGTTTGTTGGATCTCAAACTTGTAGGGATTGCGGTGTAATTTCTTAGGAGTGTGTTTGTTAAGTTTTAAAGTTGTTGGCTATGCCCGATTGCAAACTTGATGTAAAACCGATTCAAAACTAGTTAACCGGATTATCGGTTCGGTTCAAAACCAATTTAACCCCTGAACCGATTCGATTCCGATTCAAAAATTTCACTAAACCGAATTTCCAATTCAGTTCAAAAACCAGCCAGTTCGAACTGGTTAACCGGTTTTAAACAGCCCTAGGTATAGGTTAGCTTTAGCTACTCAAATCTATGTAACATCAAAGCATATTAAAATCAACAGACCATAAAACCATTGCTTAAAATGGTATCCACTACAACCAAACCATTATTGATTCGCCATTCGACAAATATAACCAAAACTATCTAATAATATAATTAAAACATGTCCCTATTACATTATTATTTATGTGAAGAGGGGATGGAATTTGACAACCTAACAAGTGCACCATCCTAACAATTATCTCAGGTTTCAAAAGCGGAATTAAGTATTAAATAGACTTCATACCTGGTTCCGTCATACCAAATCGACTTGCTTATAGAGCTAATCCCGAGGAACGAAGCAGATACAAAGGCAAGTGGATAAGCTGTTGCAAAAGGGATTTGTAAGGGAAAGTCTCAACCCATGTTCGGTTCCTGTCCTCTTAGTCCCAAAGAAAGATGGAAACAGGCGCATGTGTGTGGATTGCCGAGCTATTAACAAGATAACGGTAAAGTATAGACATCCTATCCCCAGATAGATGTATGCTTGATGAATGCATGTCTCAATTGTTTTCTAAAATTGATTTAAAAATGGCTATTATAGATTCGCATGAAAGAGGGAGAAATGGAGAAACTGCATTTAAAACTAAATATGGATTGTATGAGTGGTTAGTAATGCCTTTCGGTTTAACTAATGCACCTAGTACATCATGAGGTTAATGAACCATGTCTTGCGTACTTTATGGGAAAACTTGTGGTAGTTTACTTTGAGATATTTTAGTTTATAGCAAAAATTTGGATGAACATGTGAAACACTTGCATGCTGTGTTTGGGTGTTGAGAGAGCACCAATTGTATGCTAATCTAAGAAGTGCACGTTTTGCATGGAATCTGTTGTGTTCTTGGATTTGTTGTTAGTTGTGCAGGTATAGTGTTGATGAAGAAAAGGTAAGGGCAATAAGGACTGGCCTACACTAAGAATGCGAATGAGGTGAGAAATTCCATGGTTTAGCAAGTTTATATTGAAGGTGTTGTAAAGATTTTAGTTCTATTGCTCCACCTTGAATGAACGTTAAAAAGAATGTTGTTTTTAAGTGGGATGATGTGCATGACGAGCTTTCAAAACTTTGAGATAAGCTAACTAATGCACCTTTGTTGTGTTTGCCTAACTTTGATAAGCTTTCGGAGATAGAATGTGCGTACGGGATTGGAATAGGAGCGTTTTGATGCAGGATCCAAACCAATTGCTTATTTTAGTGAAAGCTAAGTGGGGCAGTGTTGAATTATCCTACTTACGACAAGGAGCTTTATGCTTTAGTGAGAACTTTCAAACATGGCAGCATTACTTGTGGCCGAGGGAATTCATCATTTATTCCACATGAAAGCTTGAAGTTCTTGAAGAACCAAGGTAACTTAATAAAAGACATGCTAAGTGGTTGGAGTTCATAGAAACGTCTTATGTAATCAAATACAGCGCATGGGAAGGAAAAGTTGTGGTTGATGATTGTCTAGGAGGTACGTATTACTTAATTCATTGCAAACTAATTACTTGGTTTTGAATTGCTTAAGGATTTTTATGCAATGATTCTGATTCAGCAAGTATGAATGCAGTGAAGTGTGCGTTGTGGATTTTTATAGGCATGAAGGATTTCTATTCAAGAAAGATAAATTATGTGTGCTATTTGTTTTGTTCGTGAGTTGCTTGTTAGGGAAAGTCATGGGGAGGTTTGATGGGTCACTTGGTGTTTAAAGACTTTAGATATACTACATGAGCATTTTTATGGCCTAATATGAAGCATGATGTGCAATTTGTTTGTGATAAGTGCATTACATGTAGGCAAGCAAATCTAAAGTTAGCTGCATGGCTGATACCCCTTTACCTGCACCTAATCAGCCTTGGATTGATATATCTATGGTTTTGTTTTAGGATCTAAGGACTCAAAGTAGTAAGGATATCGTATTTGTTGTTGTTGATAGGTTTAGTAAAATGGCTTATTTATTGCATGTTCTAAAACCAATGACGCAAGACATACTGTTGTTATTTGTTCTAAAGAAGTGGTTCGTTTGCATGGGTTGCCTAAGACAATTGTTAGTGATAGAGATGTTAAGTTCCTGAGTCATTTTGGGCGCACTTTATGGAATAAATTAGGAACCAAACTGTTATTCTCTACTGTTGCACATCCTCAAACGGATGGTCAAACGGAAGTAGTTAATAGGACACTTACTAATTTGTTGCATGCTATCGTTCAAAAGAACTAAGGCAGTGGGAAAATGTTTGCCACATATTGAGTTTGCATATAATAAGACTGTTCATTCTACTTCTTCATTTTCTCCTTTTGAAATTGTTAGGCTTTAATCCTTAACACTGTGGATATTTTACCTTTGCCTACAATGAGCATGCTAATCTGATGGTAGAAAAGGTAGATTTTATGAAGGATTTACATGCCAAAGTTCGGGCCAACATTGAAAGGAAGATGAGCAATATGCTAAGCAAGCCAATAAGGGGCGTTTGAAGGTTGTCCTCCACCGGAGATTAGGTTTGGGTGCACATGCGTAAGGAGAGGTTTCCCACACAAAGAAATCAAAATTGCAACCTAGAGGAGATGGACCTTTTCAAGTCTTGGAGCGGATCAATGATAATGCCTACAAGCTAGATTTGCCTAGCGACTATGGTAATGTTAGTGCAACTTTTAATGTTGCTGATTTATCTTTGTTGATGTAGGTGATTCGAGGACGAATCCTTTAGAGGAGGGGGAATAATGGAGATGAGGTGCGACCAGTTGATGTTCCCAAATATTCCCAAGATCCTTTGCAAGAATTGGCGGCCAATGACTAGGGCAAGACAAAGAGGATGAAGAGGCTTTGCAAGGCTTGATCATGGAAGTGTAATACAAAGAGGTTGTAATAGAAGACTCTAAGACTAAATTCGAAGATTTCAAAGCTTCACCAGGATGATCTATTATCTTTTTACGCAAGGGGTAGATTCGGAGGATCAAGTTAGATGCGAGGATTAATTAGACTTAATTTTTTGTTTTTTAATCTGGGCTTTTTTTTTCATTTAAATACATAGATTCTTTAGTCTTTTATTTATTTAGGTATTTAGGCCCAATTCGCTTGTACTTAAGCCAACCATTTTTCAATTAGCTAGGGTTTTTAGGGTTTGCTGATTATAAAAGGGGTAGCCATGTTATTTCTTAGGGACATATTTTTATCAGTTGAAGTTTTTTTCAGAAAGCTATTTGCTTGCCTTCTTGTGTTCTTGAATGAATGTTTGAATCTCGACTATCAAAGGGAGTGATCAACTTTTGTGGCGTCTCAAAATTAGGGTTTTAAGGACTTAGTTTCCTGGGTTCTAATTCAATCATCCTTAACAACGTTCCTAACCAACTAAAGTTCCTATTATGAGTTCGTGGGTTCCTAGGGTGATTCGCCTAGAGGTCACATCAAAAAAAAAAAAAAAGAAGAAGAAGAAGAACAAAGTAGCAATTTCAAGTTGTAAAATTTCTCATTCTTGTTCTCTTTGCTAATTCCAATTCTTGTTTTCTTGCTTGAGTTTCTTATTCTTGTTGAATTAGTTTCCTTTATTATGTTCTAGTTTCCTTTTTATTTTGTTCAAGTTTCCCTTTATTTTTTGTTCTAGTGATTGTTTCAACTATATACAAGGTTCTTTGTTGTCTTTTGCCTTCTTAATCAATTGGTGTCAATTCTAGTGATTTCTTTCACATGTCTTTTGCTTCCTTTTAGAGTTTTCTTATTTTTCCTTGGTTCTTTGGAGTCATCTTGGGTCCTTTTTCTGTTCACCGTTTGCCTCAACTAAGTTTTAAAGTTCTGATTTTTTAGATTGTCACCATCTAACCGGTTGCTTCTTGAGATTTGTGAATTCTTTGATTCTGTTAAAAACATAAAAGGGGTTGGCTTGGCTTTGAGTGGTAAAAGGCAAGAGAGATCATCATCAAGAAAAAGCCAAAATAGTGTGAAACACGAGTGATAACAATATGATTTGAGTACAAACACGTGAAGGAGTGTGTGAGGAACAACACCTTTTATTTTATTTTATTTTACAGGTTGAAACCATGAGTAAGGAAGGAGGAGAACTAGAAGAGGTCGACATGAAATTCTTCATCAAGGCTGTTAATGACCAATTTAAATTGCTGAATGCGAGATTGAATGATTTGGAGTCCTCTTCCGCTTCTAAATCACATAGAAGACATGAATTCGACGAAGCTGATTCCGAAGTGGAGAGAACACGTTATAAACAGGCCAAGAAGATTGACTCCAAAGGAGATAACAATATAGGCAGTATAAAGATGGCAATTCTGACTTTTCAAGGAAAGAATGATCCTGAGCTATACTTGGAGTGGGAAAGAAAGGTTGAGCACGTATTTGATATTCATAATTACTCCAAGGAGAAGAAAGTAAAGCTAGCAGCCGTGGAGTTTACAGATTATGAAGGTATATGGTGGGATCAATTGGTGATCAATAGGAGCAGGAATGGTGAGAGGCCTATTAGGTCATGGGAAGAGATGAAGTTGGTGATGTGCAAGAGATTTATACCTAGCCATTACTATAGAGATTTGTATAGGAAGTTGCAAGGACTGGTTCAAGGTTCCATGAATGTAGAGGATTATTATAAGGAGATGGAAATTTCCATGATTAGAGCAAACAGAGAAGAAGACAGAGAAGCAATAATGGCTAGATTCATTGCCGAATTGAACAAGGAGATTGCTGACGTGGTTGAGTTGCAACATTACGTAGAGATGGAGGAGCTACTGCACAAAGCCGTTAAAGTGGAGAAGCAAATCAAGTCCAAGAGGTTCAGACTTAGTTCGTCCTGTATCTGTTCGTGGAGATCAAATTGGAAAGACAACAAAGTTGCCTTTAGAACAAAAAAAGAAGCAAAGTCAAAGAATTCAGTTGCTATTCCTAACGGTAAACCCAAAACTAAAACTCTTACTAAGTCATATGATATTAAGTGTTTTAGGTGCCAAAGGTTCAGACATATTGCTTCCGAATGCCTAAACAAAAAGGTTATGGTTGTATGGGCAAATGGGAAAGTCAAAAGTGCTAGCTCAAGTGACGATGAGATGCCACCATTGGAGGATTGTTCCGATGTTGAAGTGGAAGAACCTGTGCATGGTGATTTACTTGTTACAAGGAGAGCCCTAAGTATACAGCCTAAGGATGAAGGAGATGAGGAGCAACATGAGCATATTTTTCACACAAGATGCCACGTGAAGGATAAGGTATGTACGTTGATTATTGATAGTGGGAGTTGTACTAATGTTGCTAGTACTTTATTGGTAGAAAAGTTGAATTTGAAGTAGGAGAAGCATCCTAAACCGTACAAGCTACAATGGTTGAATGACTGTGGAGAAGTGAAGATAAACAAGCAAGTTCAAGTTCCTTTTTCCATTGGCAAGTATGAGGATGAGGTTCTTGTGATATGGCACCAATGTATGCTGGTCATATATTACTTGGCTGACCGTGGCAGTTTGATAGGAGGGTGTCTCATGATGGGTACAAAAATCGTTATTCTTTTGTAATGAACAACCGAAAAGTTATACTAGCCCCTCTAAAACCTTTGCAAGCTTATGAGAACCATATTAGGATAGCAAGAGAGTGCAAAATGAGAGAGAAACAAAAGTGTGAGCAAGAGGAAAATAGAAAGAGAGCAAGTGAGGTCAAGAGGAAAAATGGAGAGAAAAGTGAGCAAGAAGGAGAGAAACATAAAAGAATGAGTGTACTTGCTAAAAAACATGAGGTTAAGAGTGTAATGATGGCGAGGCAACAAGTACTTATTTTTCTACTAACGACCTTAAATCATCTTTGCCTAGTGTTATCATATTTTTATTGCAGGAATTTGAGGACCTATTTCCTGAAGAGATTCCCCTTTAAGAGGAATTAAGTATTAAATAGACTTCATACCTGGTTCCGTCATACCAAATCGACTTGCTTATAGAGCTAATCCCGAGGAAACGAAGCAGATACAAAGGCAAGTGGATAAGCTGTTGCAAAAGGGATTTGTAAGGGAAAGTCTCAACCCATGTTCGGTTCCTGTCCTCTTAGTCCCAAAGAAAGATGGAACATGGCGCATGTGTGTGGATTGCCGAGCTATTAACAAGATAACGGTAAAGTATAGACATCCTATCCCCAGATTAGATGATATGCTTGATGAATTGCATGGCTCTCAATTGTTTTCTAAAATTGATTTAAAGAATGGCTATTATCAGATTCGCATGAAAGAGGGAGATGAATGGAAAACTGCATTTAAAACTAAATATGGATTGTATGAGTGGTTAGTAATGCCTTTCGGTTTAACTAATGCACCTAGTACATTCATGAGGTTAATGAACCATGTCTTGCGTACTTTTATGGGAAAACTTGTGGTAGTTTACTTTGATGATATTTTAGTTTATAGCAAAAATTTGGATGAACATGTGAAACACTTGCATGCTGTGTTTAGGGTGTTGAGAGAGCACCAATTGTATGCTAATCTTAAGAAGTGCACGTTTTGCATGGAATCTGTTGTGTTTCTTGGATTTGTTGTTAGTTTGCAGGGTATTAGTGTTGATGAAGAAAAGGTAAGGGCAATAAAGGACTGGCCTACACCTAAGAATGCGAATGAGGTGAGAAATTCCATGGTTTAGCAAGTTTATATTGAAGGTTTGTTAAAGATTTTAGTTCTATTGCTCCACCTTTGAATGAACTTGTTAAAAAGAATGTTGTTTTTAAGTGGGATGATGTGCATGACCGAGCTTTCAAAACTTTGAAAGATAAGCTAACTAATGCACCTTTGTTGTGTTTGCCTAACTTTGATAAAGCTTTCGAGATAGAATGTGCGTACCCGGGATTGGAATAGGAGCTGTTTTGATGCAGGATTCCAAACCAATTGCTTATTTTAGTGAAAAGCTAAGTGGGGCAGTGTTGAATTATCCTACTTACGACAAGGAGCTTTATGCTTTAGTGAGAACTCTTCAAACATGGCAGCATTACTTGTGGCCGAGGGAATTCATCATTTATTCCAATCATGAAAGCTTGAAGTTCTTGAAGAACCAAGGTAAACTTAATAAAAGACATGCTAAGTGGTTGGAGTTCATAGAAACGTTTTCTTATGTAATCAAATACACGCATGGGAAGGAAAATGTTGTGGTTGATGTATTGTCTAGGAGGTACGTATTACTTAATTCATTGCAAACTAAATTACTTGGTTTTGAATTGCTTAAGGATTTTTATGCAAATGATTCTGATTTCAGCCAAGTATGAAATGCATGTGATAAGTGTGCGTTTGGTGATTTTTATAGGCATGAAGGATTTCTATTCAAGAAAGATAAATTATGTGTGCCTATTTGTTTTGTTCGTGAGTTGCTTGTTAGGGAAAGTCATGGGGGAGGTTTGATGGGTCACTTTGGTGTTCTAAAGACTTTAGATATACTACATGAGCATTTTTATTGGCCTAATATGAAGCATGATGTGCAATTTGTTTGTGATAAGTGCATTACATGTAGGCAAGCAAAATCTAAAGTTAGACTGCATGGCTTGTATACCCCTTTACCTGCACCTAATCAGCCTTGGATTGATATATCTATGGTTTTGTTTTAGGATTACTAAGGACTCAAAGTAGTAAGGATATCGTATTTGTTGTTGTTGATAGGTTTAGTAAAATGGCTTATTTTATTGCATGTTCTAAAACCAATGACGCAAGACATACTGTTGATTTGTTCTTTAAAGAAGTGGTTCGTTTGCATGGGTTGCCTAAGACAATTGTTAGTGATAGAGATGTTAAGTTCCTGAGTCATTTTGGGCGCACTTTATGGAATAAATTAGGAACCAAACTGTTATTCTCTACTGTTGCACATCCTCAAACGGATGGTCAAACGGAAGTAGTTAATAGGACACTTACTACTTTGTTGCATGCTATCGTTCAAAAGAACTTAAGGCAGTGGGAAAATGTTTGCCACATATTGAGTTTGCATATAATAAGACTGTTCATTCTACTTCTTCATTTTCTCCTTTTGAAATTGTTTATGGCTTTAATCCTTTAACACCTGTGGATATTTTACCTTTGCCTACTAATGAGCATGCTAATCTTGATGGTAAGAAAAAGGTAGATTTTATGAAGGATTTACATGCCAAAGTTCGGGCCAACATTGAAAGGAAGAATGAGCAATATGCTAAGCAAGCCAATAAGGGGCGTTTGAAGGTTGTCCTCCAACCCGGAGATTAGGTTTGGGTGCACATGCGTAAGGAGAGGTTTCCCACACAAAAGAAATCAAAATTGCAACCTAGAGGAGATGGACCTTTTCAAGTCTTGGAGCGGATCAATGATAATGCCTACAAGCTAGATTTGCCTAGCGACTATGGTAATGTTAGTGCAACTTTTAATGTTGCTGATTTATCTTTGTTTGATGTAGGTGATTCGAGGACGAATCCTTTCGAAGAGGAGGGGAATAATGGAGATCGAGGTGCTGACCAAGTTGATGTTCCCAAATATTCCCAAGATCCTTTGCAAGGAATTGGCGGTCCAATGACTAGGGCAAAGACAAAGAGGATGAAAGAGGCTTTGCAAGGCTTGATCATGGAAGTGTAATACAAAGAGGTTGTAATAGAAGACTCTAAGACTAAATTCGAAGATTTCAAAGCTTCACCAAGGATGATCTATTATCTTTTTACGCAAGGGGTAGATTCGGAGGATCAAGTTAGATGCGAGGATTAATTTAGGACTTAATTTTTTGTTTTTTTAATCTTGGGCTTTTTTTTTCATTTTTAAATTATCATTAGATTCTTTAGTCTTTTATTTATTTAAGGTTTATTTAGGCCCAATTCGCTTGTACTTAAGCCCAACCTATTTTTTTCAATTAGCTAGGGTTTTTTTAGGGTTTGCTGATTATAAAAAGGGGTAGCCATGTTATTTCTTAGGGACATATTTTTATCAGTTGAAGTTTTTTTTCAGAAAGCTATTTGCTTGCCTTCTTGTGTTCTTGAATGAATGTTTGAATCTCGACTTATCAAAGGGAGTGATCAACTTTTGTGGCGTCTCAAAATTAGGGTTTTAAGGACTTAGTTTCCTTAGGGTTCTAATTCAATCATCCTTAACACGTTCCTAACAAACTAACTAGTTCCTATTCCATTGAGTTCGTGGGTTCCTAGGGTGATTCGCCTAGAAGGTCTACATCAGTGTTTGTACATGGTGGTTTATGGTGTCTTACAGTGGCACGGCCACTCGTGGTGGAGTATGACAAATTGTGGCGACTAGGTTTCTCTGTCATAGGGGTGTGTTTGTTGGATCTCAAACTTGTAGGGATTGCGGTGTAATTTCTTAGGAGTATGTTTGTTAAGTTTTAAAGTTGTTGGATATGCCCGATTACAAACTTGATGTAAAACCAGTTCAAAACTAGTTAACTGGATTATCGGTTTGGTTCAAAACCAGTTTAACCCCTGAACTGATTCGATTTCGATTCAAAAATTTCGTTTAACCGAATTTCCAATTCAGTTTAAAAACCATCCTGTTCGTACTGGTTAACTGGTTTTAAACATCCCTAGGTATAGGTTAGCTTTAGCTACTCAAATCTGTGTAACATCAAAGCTTATTAAAATCAACAGACCGTAAAACCATTGCTTAAAATGGTATCTACTACAACCAAACCATTATTGATTCTCCATTCGACAAATATAACCAAAACTATCTAATAATATAATTAAAACATGTCCTTGCTACACTATTATTTATGTGAAGAGGGGATGGAATTTGACAACCTAACAAGTGCACCATGCTAACAATTATCTCAGGTTTCAAGTTCTACACACAATGATCCCCGAATTTCAGTTTTGGAATCACCAATCGGAAGCAATCACTACTTTTTCATATTTATTTTTCTTTTTGAGAAGAAGAATTTTCTCCTATGCGAGTAAGGNCTTTTTTTTAAAACCAACTCGGTTTTGGTTCACAAATTTGGCTGAATCGGTTTTCCGATTCGGTTACCAGTTCATCCCCAGTTGAAAACTAGTTTACCCGAACCGGTTTTAAAAATCGATTATGTTAAAAATTCCTAAACCTAAAATCTGCAGTTCTAAACTTTTGATTTATCTAAAGTCTAAAGCAGATCCTCAAGTAGTGATTGACTCTCCGTCATCCTTGGCTCTTGATCTCCCTTCGCGTGACTGGTTAGGAGCACGATGCCTATGTGCGCGATCTTCTGCTCCAATCCTTGCTTCCCTCGCCACTCCATCACATTTGCTTACCCCAAACATCACTAAGCAACCCCATAATGCGCTTGTTCATGCAATCCAACCCACTATCTCGCAGTCTTTGCCATTCCTTCTACTCCCAAGACGCGCCACCGATTGGTTTGTGTTGTGGGTTTGATTGGTGTTTGTACATGGTGGTTTGTGGTGTCTTACGGTGGCATGGCCACCCGTGGTGGAGTATGACAAATTGTGGCGACTAGGGTTTCTCTATTGTAAGGGTGTGTTTATTGGATCTCAAACTTGTAGGGATTGTGATGTAATTTCTTAGGAGTATGTTTGTTAAGTTTTAAAGTTGTTGGATATGCCCGATTACAAACTTGATGTAAAACCAGTTCAAAACTAGTTAACTGGATTATCGGTTTGGTTCAAAACCAGTTTAACCCCTGAACTGATTCGATTTCGATTCAAAAATTTCGTTTAACCGAATTTCCAATTCAGTTTAAAAACCAACCGGTTCGGACTGGTTAACTGGTTTTAAACACCCCTAGGTATAGGTTAGCTTTAGCTACTCAAATCTGTGTAACATCAAAGCTTATTAAAATCAACAGACCGTAAAACCATTGCTTAAAATGGTATCTACTACAACCAAACCATTATTGATTCACCATTCGACAAATATAACCAAAACTATCTAATAATATAATTAAAACATGTCCTTGCTACACTATTATTTATGTGAAGAGGGGATGGAATTTGACAACCTAACAAGTGCACCATGCTAACAATTATCTCAGGTTTCAAGTTCTACACACAATGATCCCCGAATTTCAGTTTTGGAATCACCAATCGGAAGCAATCACTACTTTTTCATATTTATTTTTCTTTTTGAGAAGAAGAATTTTCTCCTATGCGAGTAAGGTAAAGCATCAACCATCTGAAAAACAGCAAACAATTGTGAAAATTAAACATTAAATTATCTTCCATAAATGGACCTAGAAACGATTAAAAATTTTATAATTATTAGCCTAAACAGACACACGAAGATAAATACCACTTACATTACTAGGATATTGAAAGTTGGTTATAAACAATCCTAAAATAAGAGCTGAAAAGAGCAAACATTCTTTTCTCACAATTGACAAGCTCTTTAGCTCAAATGCCCAACTAAAAATTGATCCCTGGCAACTAATGCTTTTGTATGCTTTGAAAATGTGGAATTTTCAAAAAACAATGCCATGTTTAGCTAGTGTAGACGGTAAAATCTACAGTTATGGAATAGGAGGTCTAATCCCGTGAGGTTGAGGCCACTAGCAATCCGCTGCACCTGCACATACAAAGAAACAAGCATGAAGCAAACGGAAATGAACTGGGGTGGTGTTTGTCGTAGGCACTCTGACACTTAAGTCAACAAGGTTGAATGAGATTACTTTAGTGAGGGTAAAGGAAAGAGAGGGTTACCAAAAGTTTAGTTGAAGACTAGAACTACGGCGGTGATGTAAAGCTCTCAAGGGTGAGAACTAGGGGGTTTGAAGGTGTAATGCTAAATGAATTGTGGAGGGTATACCTATGTTTATATAGTAGTTGTAGGATATCTGAATCCTAGTAAGACTATGAGTCCATAGTGGTTGAGGTTTAGTGAACAGAAAAGTCTTCGATTCACTTGCCTTAGTAGGGGAAGGATTCCTATTTATTCTACGATTCAAATCTTAGACGAATTAGGATATTGATGGATCTCTTTGAGAGAATCTGGATAGTATCGAAATATAAAGTAGACAGCCTTAGGGTCCAAGTAAACCTTAGGTCCAGTAGGTGATCTTGGATTAATGGGCATAGGCCCTGATAAACTGATGGTGAGGCCTAAGTGAATCAAGCCCTTAGTGATTGGGTTCAATCTATAAGCAACCTAATGGGTGTAATGGGCTAGCAACTTATGCGAGTTCTATTGTGGGCCTAACCAAAAATTAGGGCATGGCCGTGAGCCCTCTTTACGGTGTTTCACTTTTGGGCCTATTGAGGCCGAAGATATTTTTTTGCCCTAACAGTTTGCCCCCCACTCTCTAAGTTAAGGAGTACTTAACTTAGAGAGTAGTTACTGTTACGTGAAGGTGTATTCAGTCAATCTGCCTGTCTGACTAGGTGAGTATGTATGTAGATACCAGCTCTTCGGTTCATGGAACCAGGTCCTTAGTAAACTTCAAGGTGACTCACTCGATATGTCAAGTTGAGTGGGTAAGTATGAGGCATAAACTAAGATTTTGTTCTCACTTGGCGCATCGAATCGAGCAAAAAAAAAGGCAATAAATGAAGGCCTTACTCAGTGCATTGAACCGAGGGAGGGTGTGAAACATATCCGAAGGCGTCCTTACTCAGTGCATCAAACCGAGTGAAGGTTGTGCGATTCCTTGAAGGTGTGTTCCACTCGATGCATCGACTCAAGCGAGAAGATATGAGGAACATCCAGTGGAGGTGTCCTCACTTGTTGCATCTAACCGTGTGATAGGATGTTAGAAATATCCATTTAAGGTGTCCTCACTTGGTGCATCGAACTGAGTGAGAGGATGTGAGGAACATCCAGTGAAGGTGTCCTTACTCGGTGCATACAACCGAGCAAGAAGATGTGAATCGATTCCTTGGAGAAACGTTCATTCAGTGTCTTTGACCGAGTGGGTAGGAGTAGTAGAATCTTAAAGGATCATCTCTTGGTGTGCAATATCGAATGAATCTATTGACTTAACTAAATGAGCGTTTGTGAAGTACAAAGAGGTCGAATTTCTACCCAAAGTACCCATTCGGTCTAGACCAAATGGTTGGATTTGGTGCCTTATGTATCTGCCACTCAGCATGACGAGCTGAGTGAGTGAATGTGAGCTATATGGCGTGGCATTACATAAATAGGATAGAGAGTTATTAGGACATACCTTGTATCATGTGGTGGTGCCTCTTACTCGGTCGGGTGAATGGAGCAGCATGTGCAAGGCGTGAATACTTTGAACTTTGAGCGGGAAAAAAAAGGTTGAGCCTTTTCAAGGACAGCTTGCTATGCAACACGTGTACGACTATGATTTCGTTTCTGCTTTGAGGCAGGAAAATGAAAAGTCTCGTCGTTCAATGACTTATTGTAGGCTACCATGTGTGATGCTTGGATAGGCTTGATGTGTAGAAAATGTGAAATTCCTTTGGGGAGATTGTTCATCTTCATTCGTTTCTCATTTTCTCTCTCTTTCTTTCAAAGTTCTCTCTGTTGCAGTAGCGTTACTCTGGTGATTTTTTTAACCAATCACGGTAAAGTCTTTGATTTTCTTCGAACTTTTGTTTTGTTTTTTACTTCTTTTAGTGTTTCCGGTAGTTTTGAAGAAATTTTAGTGAAGTTTAGTAGTTTATTTGGAAGAGTTTGAAGAAAAAGAGAGTGTGAGGTTTTTTTAGATTGAACTAGGCATTCCAGTAGTGATTTGGCCATTTCATTTTCCGGTTTTGAAGGTTTGGATATTTAGGCTTTTGATTTGGTAAGGTTTGTATTTTGAAGAGCGAGGTTCTGGATTTTGGCTAGTTTTTGTCTTTTTTGGGTTTTGTAGGTTTTGGGGAGACAGAAGATGAAGTCAATTTATATAAGAACCTCATTTAGCTCGTCTCGGTCTACTTGACCGAGCCATGTGAGGTGGTTGACTGGGAGCTAAGGTTGGAGGTGCTTTTGGAATTAGATCTAAGGCGCCTTAGTCATCCGGTCTATAAGATCGAGCCGAGTAAGGCAAGTTGTGAGTTGAAAAGTTTGGGGCATGGTCACTCGGTCTCCCTGACTGAGTCGAGTGTGAGAGTTGGCAAAAAAATCATCAAGAGATAATCACTCTGTCGTCCTGACCAAGCAGAGTGGCAGAGTTGTGTTTAGTTGAAAGGTAACGTATCTTAGCTTTGGTGAAGATTCGGTCGGTCGCTTGGGTTGAGTTGAGTAAAGAGACTTATTGAATGTCACATTCAAAGTCGGATGAGTCGAGCGAAGGAGAGATAGAGGTAGGTGATGAGTACGAGAGAGCCCTTACGATGGTGGTGATGCAAAAGGGTGGAGGCGTACCTATAGGTATATCGAGGGGAGTGAGTGTAGCTGCTCTCGGGCTGAGTGGTGCCGATTTTGG